AATAATAATAATAATAATAATAATAATAATAATAATAATAATAATAATAATAATAATAATAATAATAACATGTCACTTTATTATTAGGGATTCAATAAATATCATATTTACTACTAGTAACATATTTTAACCTTGATCAAATAAAGGACATGCATGTGTAGACTAGTATGCGTTTAATCAGCCTGTCGAGGCCAAATAATCCCTTTCTATTAGGCACTAATCTGCACTTTGTCTTGTTAAGGACAAAGAAAATGACATGATAATTATTGCTAACCTCTCTATAAAGGTAATTGGGTTTGCTGATGATTAATGATGCTTTATTTAAAAAAATCATTGAGTAGGATCAAATATCAATCCTGCTTTTATATTAATACTAGTACGTATTTCGTGCGATGCACGAGACAAAGATATTAAATGAGCTATTTTCACTGTTTAAGTCTAAAATGCAGGTTATTATCAATTTTCTACCTCGTTAAATGTAAAAAAAAAAAAACAATAAGGTTATAATCTATTTTCTACATTTTTTAATCAACGTTATTTTTTTAGTTAGAATATTAAATATGAGAATGTTAGGGTAATTTGTAAAATAATCAATATATTATCCACTAACACATTTATACTAATATAATTTTAATTGTTGTATATATATATATTTATTTATTCCTTGATATAAGATAAAATAACAGTTTTACTTATTCTTGTTTACCATATAATACTTAATTATTATTTTATTTTAAACTTTGTTGTCATATAATGTAATTTTTATTTATAAAATTTATAGAAGTTGTATGTCTTCTTTTTCTTTTTATTTTATGTGATGCAAAATATTTAATGCACGTTAGTAATATTTATTTATAAAATCAATTTAAAATATGTAAATATATTTAAAATTAAATAGTGTATAACTATTTTACAAAATATACACACATATTTTTTAATTTAATTTTGTATACTAATTAAACAATTTTGATTTAGAAAATACCAAAACCTCGATGCTCGCCATTGCCAAACACCTAGCAAAGACGAAGACCCAAGCCACGAACCAGTCAAAAAACTCACCCGCTCTCCGGCCGTAAGAAGCCACTCGCCCTCCAACCTGACTAACTCCACTAGCCAATTTCGGCACCGTCCCAAAGCTGACTACCACCAGTAGCCAATTTCGGCAACGGCGGTCCTCCCTCGGACTCAGCACCAGAGAACAAGGGAGAAAGGGGTAAGAATGGTGTCAAAGCCCCAGTCGCTCCGACATAGCCCGAGCGAACGACAAGTTCCCCACCCGTCCCCCAAAAAGGACCCCGACCCATCACCACTGCAGCACCAAGGTGCCAGCGATCGGAGATCGCGAGACAACACCGACAAGAACAGATGATACAGAACAAGGTCATTCGCAAAGCCCGACGAGAAGAGTCGCCCCGACCCACTGACAACGCGACCCAGGCCACGTCCACCCACTAGCGCCACACTCCACCAAGCCCCACCTCACCGAAATGCCGACGAACTTTGTACACAGGTCGGAGAACTCTGTCGAAGATCCAACCCGCACCCCTCGGCTTGAGATTAAAGAATAGGGCTCCGCAATCAGATCCATGGATGTGCAGTGGAGGGACATCCACCGACAAGCCCGACGGCCACTGAGGGAGGCACAAAACGACGAATTGCAGACGAAAGGCGGCGAGGGTTGGTTTTGGGATTTGGGCGAATTAGAGACGAAAAAAATATTTGTTTTGATGACGAAAAACAATAAAAAATAAAAAAAATAAAAAAAAATAAAAAAAATTATATATTTCATGCTATTTTTTTAATAAATACTTATATGAGAGAATATAAATGATGTTATTTTTAACTAGTACGTACTTCGTGCGATGCACGAGACAAAAATATTAAATGAATTATTTTAATAGGCTATGTCC